AACGGGCAGGCACTCTTCCCTCCACTGAGGTCCAAGTACTTATCCAAGGTCAAGTACTTGCTTCTTAGCCCTTCGTTAAAAGTTTCAAGCTGAAACACAAGGCCCCCCTCATCACCTCTGAAGAGGAGCCACGTCCTATTTTCCCCAAACCATGGGCACGTTATCCATGAAAGAAGTCACTGACAAGGGCAAATGCCAGCTTAAGGGGAAAAACAATAGGAAAAGCCTACTGCTCTCCCTGCCACAACACCTCCCCTACACTTAATCACTTCCAAGTTCTGAAACAATGCCTGTGTCCACCTTGCCCATTTTCAGGATGGAACAGAAAGGAGCTTCATTTCATATGAAGCTGCCTGGAAACCGCTTACACCACCTGCTTGCCGTGGAGAACAGAGGTTTTGTTTAACTTGCCCCAGGTGAACCCATTGAGACACTCAATCAACAACCTGTATTTTGAACAATCTCAAGATCACAATACACATGGAAGTGTACATGTGGGTGGCTGTTTTCATTATTACTCCCGGGGAGCAAAGCGAGTAAGTATCTTTTCACCTAAAATAAACCTTAGCCCCAAAATCCTTGTTTCCTCCCAGTAACTCCAGCCAGGTTATTATCTGTATTCCTGAAACAAGAAAGCTTTCTAGTGGGATAATCCTCAAAAGAGGTGACGTATGAGAATTAAGAGTCCTCAGCCCCTACCTCAAGGTACAAAACAATTGATTCTTTAGCAGAAAGAGACTGAAGAAGAGACTGAATCTATAAATTAACTAATTACAAGTCTCTAAACATCCAGCTCCATTTTCTGACTGCATCCATCAGGGGTTTCAAGGACAAGCACAGAAAAATATACAACCAAGTCGAAGATGAGTGATTAGAGTCCCAGAAAATCACTATTATTATCTTATTATAATGTGTGCATGCAAGATAACGATCATTCTGCTTCCACTTGTCTATGCAAACACCCTGAAAAAAATTTTTTTTAATATTCAATATAACTTGGTAATCAAAATAAGTTTCTAAATAACATCTCCAAAGGAAGCCCAGATGGATTCTGATATTGAGCACTGGACTATTTAAACTGTCAGGACCTTCAAGCAACCATGGCTCCTGTTTTGGCATCACATTTGATCAGGTATTCTGGTGAAATGGGAATAGAGTTTAAAACACTTTATTTAAAAAACAAAAGGTTAGAAGAGGTTGAAGCTTAATAAACCAAGCCACAAAAGGAACTTCAAAACTCTTTGTTATGACAGGTAAAGATTCTGGTTGACTTGCATATACCTTGGAAAACAGAAGACCTCAGAATCTGACAGAACAAAGTTCCATGCGAGCAGGAGCTATGAAGTTCACCTCCAGCAGGTGCCTGGCACATGCTAGGCGCGCAGCACATCTCTGTTAAGGGAACAGGTATTGGTGAATAAACAAGCTGTGCAGGAATGCACTTTCCAAAATCAGAGTTCAAGGTAAGATCCATTTTCAGTAAAGATTTTAACATGAAATATTATCTTTTCCACTGACTTGTAAAATACTGTTTTGCCTCAAATACCACTAAACCGTCTTGTTTCTGAAGAATAAAATGTACCAAATGCAGAGTCAATGGGCCCTAATTCTGATGAACCTCAAGGAAGAACAGTTAAAGAAGGGAGGAAATGGGAGATTAAGACCTATCAAACTACAGCATAGTGACCAGCAAAAATTAGATACAGACGTTTGACAACAACCTTCTCCAAAACTGGAGGTTTTCCTCTGGTTTCTATTTCAGCTAGCTAAGCAGTTTTCTGCAGTCTGCGGACTTCCAAAGCTTTCCCTTTCATGTAGTTGAGAACTTACATATTTCATTCATAACGCTCCCAAAGTTTCCCACAATTTACCTGGGTGACTTCTTTTACTAGAATCTCTTTTGTCTGGAAAGTTCTTCCCTTTCCACTCCCTACTCCCCTTGCTGAAAGCATCTCTTAATACCGTCCTTTCTGATTTTATGGAAGTTTCATTTCCTTGCAGCAGAAGCCTGCTCTATTTCCTGAAGCTAAATTCACCGTGCTCCATAAATGTGAAAACAAAATCATTCAAACCACATTCAGGCAGAGAACCACCTACCAACCTGCACCTTCTGCCGGTTTTTCATCCCAATATGCCTTTCTGGTGGTGACCTTGTGTTCCCTTCATCCTTCTGGCATCTCTATTTTCCAATCCACAGAATTTTCCCCTCCCAAGTCCATAAATTCTAAACCATATGGAACAAAACATTTTCTGCTATAAATCCTGTTTCTCAAGGCTCAACACCTTGATAAACAAAAGTAACCAAGGCCAGAAATTAGCTTACTTGCAATCAAAATGTGTTAATGTATTTAACCCTTTGCATATATGTGGCCACACAATGAATAGATGGAAGGAGGAAGGAATGTACTTTACAAATACTTCGTAAAGACTTTTTCATCTGATCTTCTTAACAACTTTGGGAAGCAGGCAGGGCAGGCATTTTACTACCCCATTTACAGGTGACAAAACTAAACATCAAAAAGGTTAAGTGAAAAGAAAAAAAAAAGGCTTAAGTGACTTGCCCAACCAATGTCGTCACATGACATGTCACCCCAAACCCATATTAGGGTCCTGCCTCGTTCAACCCAAAGGATGTCTACCATGTACCCTCTCCATAGCTTTCTGTTCTACATACAGTCAAGGAGTAACTTCACAGAGATTTGGCATTTGAAAGAGAGGATGGTCCTCTGATTTTGGGGATACCATCTCCCTTCAGCTAACAAGCCAGAAAACCATCTTCCAACTTCCCAACAGAAAACAATGCCTTTTTCTTCTCTATACCACTTTTAACATCTACTGCTTTTCGAAACAATTTCCAACAGTTTCTGTTTTAAGGAGACTTACCCTTAAGACTCTACTAGTCCAAAAAGTTTGCATCAGCATAGGATTTTCTCAATAAAGTTCAGGGCTGATGCAATATTTTTCAGTCTCATATTTTACAGCTAAACTGACAAGAACATAGAACAGTCAAAAATTACGCAAGACAATGCTGCATTTTTTTTTCACTCTGCCACATCTGCCTCTATGTGTCTCCTGTGAGTCACTGTCTTTGGTGTTCAGTCATCATTATAGGAACTCTCATTCTCTACCCTAAATTATTTCATTTCTTAAAGAAAACCTCTGCAATAATAACAGAATCCTATGACATCTTTCACCACTTTGCTGAAGCACTGACCCCTTAATGTAGAGCCTCAGATGTCATGCTATTCCAATTTTTTATCACTCCAGTTTTCTTCTTTTAAAGAAAAGAAGATGAAGGACAGTTACAATTCATTCATTTATTCAATCAACAGACACATAAAATCCTATCAGATGCCTGGAATCGGAGCCCAAAAATGAACAATAATTGTCCCTCCTCTCACAGCCTGGTAGAGTGGAAAACTAGAGTAAAGAGAATAAACTGATCAAGGTTAAGGTGGAGGTGAGCACAGGGCGTGGGGCAGTGGCCATCCATCATGAAATGCTTTCTGGAAGAAGTAGTCTGTGAGCATTTATAATCAACTCTCTCTGGACTTTCAGTACAAAATAAGCCTAAGACCCAACCCTGAAAGGATATAAGATGTACTGGTCAACAATCAAGTTAAAATAATAATCTAGTTAAAATAGCAGAATTTATTCTTGATTCCCAGTCCAAAATTTCAACTCCTAACCTCTATTCCCTTAGGCACAAATTACAGAGGGGTTAACAAATTCTGTCCCATACAGAGCCTTCTCACAAGTCTGTAGAACAGAATTAAAGACATGCACAGTGAAATAAAATGCACTTTAAAAAATACATGACCATTTTCCTAGACTGGAAGTGAACACTTTGAAGGATCCAAGCCCTACAAAGCATGACTGTCAGAAGAGGAAACTGAGGTTCAAAAAAGTCCCACTTTAATACAACAGAATAAAAGATGTCTTTGAAGTCGCCAGAACAGCTTGAGCAAGAAGAGGAACAGAAGGCTATTGTGGGGCTTTAGGCTCCAGATGATGAACCCCAAACACCCTGCAATGGTAAACAAACAAGCCTCTGAGTGGAATCTGATTTGGTGACCCAACAAAACATTACAATCTAAGGAATCTCTCTCTCCCCATTCATTATTTCCCAAACAAAGTCCCACTGGCTAGCAGCTCCTGGTTGTTTTTTTTTTTTTTTGGGGGGGGGTGGTGCTGGTTTATTGCTGGTAAATTATAATGCACAGTGTGCTTTTCAAAAAAAAAAAAAAGGTACAGGCACACGAAAACAACCACGGTTTTAAAGACCCATAAAAGACACTATGTAACAGAAATGAACTCTGTCTGTGTTTGCTATGAGGACCTATTACTCCTTTATGCTACTCCAGTGGGTTTTAAACTCAATTGAATGCTACCATTGCCTGCTAAAGAGCATGTCAGGGAAGGGAAGGAGCAATTTCAAACACCTGCCTCAGCAGGAGCCCAAATTGCCTCCCTCACCATCTTCCCGTGCCTCAAGCAAGCAGCTGACCTGGAAAGGGGGCTTCAGACACCGGCCACTCTACCATCCCAACAAGTAGGCTCTATAAAGTCATCCTTCCATTTGGCCCGGCACACCCTCATCCCCACCACTCGGATCCCCAGCTGAAAGGAGGGAAACTCAGCCGCCCCAAAGAGGAGAAATGCAGTGGGTCCTGAGTGGTCCCTTTCCCCAGCCGGCCCGAGGTGGGCCCGGGGGGTCCCTCACCTCCCCCGACTCGGTGTCCCTTCCCAGGGACCGCCGAGCCCCTCCCACTCCCTTGGCCCAAGGGGCTGCGGTTACCACCCTCGTCCCCTCAGGACTTCGGCTTCCGCCTGGGCCCCGAGGACCCTGGCCCATAAGCGACGCCACGCCCAAGCCCTCTCGGCCCGGACCGCCGACCCCTGCCCCGGGCCCCTCCCGGGCGACCCTGCCCGGACGCCCTCAATCCTCTCAAGGCCCGGGGCCGCCCCGCGCCGCCCGCCCCGACCGGCGGGCCGCGCACCGTGTGAGACTGCAGGCTCTGGCTCGCCTCGATGGCCGCTGTCAGCGGCACCGTGTCGTCCAGCAGCACCTTGCCGGCCGGCGGCTTCTCCATGAAGGCCATCCCGGGACGCCGGTCCGCCACCGCCTCGGGACCAGGGGCAGGAACCGCGGGCGCCGAGTCCTGCCGCCCGCCGGGCTCTGCCGCCGCCGCCGCTGTCAACACGCGCCGCCCCACGCGCCGCCGCCGCCGCCCGCCGGGCCCGCGGGGTCCTAGCGCCGACTGCCCCCCGCCGCCTTGGCTGTCGGCACAGGCAACCCTTTCGCGCTGCCCCCTCCGCGGGGTCCTAGGGCCAAACCGTCGGTCACACCTGCCCTGGATCTGTGTCTCCAAGCTCCACGTAGGCGCACCGCAAGCTCGGTACCTTCAGCACCGGCCTCAGACCTCGGGACAGTTCACCCTAAGCCATCACCCCCAAGAGGTCCTCAGAGCCGAAGACACAGCGTCTTGGGCTCTAGGCTCCGGGAACGCTCAGGCCCAAACAATCCCAGACATTTCCTTGATAGGTTTCTCATATTAGACCCTCAAAACTGTACACCCTGACTTACAACTGACCCTTTCCCATCAAGCCTCCCAGGTCAAAGAACCCTAAGACCCAGAATAAAGGGCCTTCAGGATGGGACTCTCCTGCTGTGCCTTGCAGAACCACAAACTTTCTAGAACAAGCCACTCAAATTCAGATTTTGTGGGGACCTCTTGAACTTGGCTCTTCAGACTAAAAAACCTAGGAGCTGGGCCCTTAGAATTGAAGCCCTAAGACTCCAGCACTCTCAGACCCAAAGCTCTTTGAACTGGAGCCCCTAAAACCTGGGCATTGGTCCAGAACTCCCAGTCTCTACCCTCTGGCCCAGTTCTAAGCTCAGCACACAGGCCTTCAAACTTTCAACCACAGACTTGGGGTGCTCCATCCCACCGTACTGGCTCCAAGAACGTCAAAACCCAGAGCCAGATAAATCTGATCAACTCAGACCCAAATCTGCCCCAATCTGCCTGAACCCAAGGCCATAATCCTGACCCACCCACAAGGCTGTCTGCCAGGGCAGCATCCCAGGACAACAGAGAGCTGGAATTACCAGCTGTGTGCCCTTGAATTAGTTACCCAACACCTCTGAGCCCCAGCTCCCCGTCTGTAACATGGAGATAATAAAGCAGCAGTCTATTATAACTACGTATCACTTAGGGAGGGTTCTCTTTTCACTTGTGTTTCTTAAGGCAAATACATTATTTCATTACCAGATTCACAGAAACCAAAATTCGGCTTTAATCATTACTCATATCATGTGGGCTGACCGGAGACAAGGCTCTTCTTGCATACTGCTGGGGGAATATAAATTGGGGCATTTATGCACTCAACAATTATTTACTGAGTACTTAACCATGTAAGAGGTCTGGCACTAGCAGCTGGGATTTGACAACACACATCCTCACCCAGTAATCCCACCTGTAGGAGATTATCTTAAGGAAATACTCAGAAATCAGTGCAAATACATAGCACTCAAAGGTATATATCTAACATAGAAGACTGGACAAATTGTGATACAATCATAGATATTTTACAAAGATTAAAAATTAGATTATCAAAGGATATTTAATGATGTTGGGGAATGCCCTAGATACAAAAGTAAGTAGGAAAAAAACCCAATATATGCATTTTATGATCTCAAGATTTTAAAATGTTCATAGGAAAAACATCAGAAGGAAGCCCACCAAAATATTAGCTGAGGGTCTTTAGCAAACAGAATCATGATGCTATTTTCTGCACTTTTCAAAATGTCTCTAAAAATATTTTACTTCTATGTTTAGGAAAAAACATAACAATATTATACAACTGAGTTGCAAAGGTCATCAAATGACAGCCTGTCCTCTTCCTTACTAAGGAAATAAAACTGAAAGTGAGAAATCATGTATTTGATGGACTGAAGCCAGAGACTAACTCTCAATCTAGGCTTTCCTGTGCTCGAGGAATTCTTGCCTGAAGCCTCTGAGAATAAATACTATAGACAGCCTTATAATCTCATCTACCCAAATCAGTACCCTGAAGAGCCTAGACTTAACTGGATCCCTGGATCCTCTGGAGACTAGGCTATGATAGTCTGTAAAGCCAGTTGGATTTTGAAGTGGCTCACGGTGAATGTGGAGAAACTCCCTAGTCCAGAGCTGATCTGAATCAAATCTACTTTGCTTCCAGTCTCATACTGGGTAAAGCAAATGTGCAGTACTTCTGTTGCCATATATATAACTACTCAGGGCTGCAAGGGAAATAAAGCAAGATTTATATTCTTGTATGCTGCCAAATGTTTAGATAGTCCACAGGTTGTTTAACGGCTTGACATTTGGCCAGACTGACTGAAAATAATGAGTTTCAGTGAGGAGGCTTCCAGACCTGGCACCTGTTCTACAAATCAACTCACAGAACCTAGTAAAACACTCAGTGCTTCCTAAGCAGCATCACCTCCCCACTCAGAATTATTTTCTTTCTTTAAGTATTCATGATCTGCATTTAAAAAAAAAAAAATTCAAGTCACTTGTGATCATTCTTACTTCCCTTACATACTGGAATTTTTCATCACATCGCAGATGAATTTTGCTCATGGTTTATAAGGTCATGTGAACTGTGGCCTCACTAAGAGCCACCCAAGAAATTGATTGTGGCCTAGAAATCGACTGTTTGTGGAGCCTTCTATTAATTCTGTTCTATTTATGTAGTGTCCACATTCGTCTTGGGTTTTCTTATGATTTTTCTGCAAACCAAAGTTTCTCTGAAGATGTTGAGAATTCTGGTCTCTGTGTGTAATCCATAGGAAGAAAAGCCAAGGACAAAGGGAGTGAAACATCCAGGAACCTGGAGAGACTCAAGGGCAGCCCCAGAGTCATTTCACGGCACTGGCAGAGTCAGTTAATAAATTCTGCCAGCACATGACGCATTCAGAGTGGCACGACCGCTCAGTGACTGTCAACCTTTGGTAGAGTATGTTTTAATGTAAAAACTTAATAGATATAATTTAGTAGCAATTTTCTTTGGGAGTAAATTGGTCTCTTAATCATGCTCTAAGAACATAAAAAGAAAAATGTCTAATAATTCAGCACAAAATGAAAACCTGTGGTTACCTAAGAGGCACCAATGGGCCTTTAGCAATTTCTTCTTTTTCTAGCTGAATACGCAAGACGAATGGTGGCTGTGGGGAGGCTTTCTCCCTGTTGCTACTTAAGATTCACTGCTCAGAAAAAGAAATGAGTGGCATTTCACCAATGTGGAAATGTTTCTAACCAAATACAAAAATCTGTTAAGCAATTTTCCAGTACATTAGGCTGAAATTGCTTACGATGGATATATATTTCTGTGGCGATCAAACATCCTATAAACTGCAGTCTTATAATGCCCCTCCGTGGAAAGCACTAGGACTATCTGCCTTGCTCTTTCAGTCAGTACTTTTGTACTCACTTCTCTTTGTGACCCTGGACAGTCAAAGCCACTTCTCAATTACTTGGAAGAGGATTTCCTATATGAGAGTCACTCGTGCTTTCATTAGAAGAGTCACTCTTTCTGGCAGCTTGTAGAGAGCTCAAAATGAAAAAGCCAGCCAGCTAGTTTGTGTTATAGTCAGCTTTAACAAAGCATAAGTGGTCTGAGAATCTTGGCTCAGTGTAAAAGTAACAAGTCATCATTTACAGAGTTTCCCTAAATCTTGCCCACTTCTCTGTTCCATCTTTTTTCAGTTTATAAAGATCAAAGAAGACCATGACATCTATGGAGCATCAAAAAAAAAAAAAAAGAGAGACATTCCTACTGAGAAGCTACTTTAAGTTACACACTGTTAATCAGCTATCCATCAGATATCATATACACAAGTCCCCACCACGCCTGACTTGCACACAGTTTCATCTTTAGAATAACTCTCAGTAATTCTGTTCTGAAGACACTCACTGAATAAAAATCAACTTAGAAAAAGTGCAGGCGATAGGTATTGGTAGGAGCCATCAAGTAACAGTGAGGAAAACATTAAAACTGTAACAGGGAATACTAAGATCTAGAATATTCTAAATAGAAAAAAAATCATGCACGATGGTAGTTCCAAATACAAATGCAACATAAGATACTATTACAGAAACTGATAGTGTTCCAGTATGGGAACATTTTAAGACCCACAGGGCAATGAAAAAAAGAAACACTCTGGAGCCAGACAGGCCCATGTGAATTCCAGCTCTACTGCACACTAGCTGTACAACCCTGGGCAGGTCACAGAGCATGTAAAATGGAACAGTAACTTCACAACATTGTCTAAAGGATTAGAACTACTGTAGAAACCTGGCTTGTCATTGAAAGAATGGTAACTTATAGTATCAATGATCACACCACACTCCACTTGCACACCCATACTTCAGGACTGCCATTAAGTCCCAGAGAATGTATTCTGCAGGAATAGATGGTCTCAGCATCAAGTGTTTATTTTGTGATTCAAGTTCTCCATTTTCTAATGTGACACCCAACTATCTGCATGTATCATGTTTCGCCTAAACATACACCTTCTTCAGGTGAACCTGAACCTGTATAAGCTTCCCATTCTGAAACTCATGATAATGGCATCCTTGCTCTGCACCCCGATTTTAGTATTTTCCACATTACCAACACAAACTAGAATGTGGTACAATATTAAACTACTCATTCATACACAACACTGCCCTCTAGTGATGAGAACAATTCTTTCTAGTAGTCTGTTTTAAGAATCCCCTTGATGTAAACATGGAGAAGGAAATGGCAACCCACTCCAGTATTCTTGCCTGGAAAATCCCATGGACGAAGGAGCCTGGTAGGCTACAGTCCATGGGGTCGCAAAGAGTCGGACAAGACTGAGCGACTTCACTCACTTGATGTAAACAAAAAAAAATCTAGTTACTGATCCAGCAGCAGGAAGAGAACATTTTTTTTTTCCAGGAAATGTGGGTAGATGTAACCAATTAATTTGATCTTATCTTCCTGATCAAAGCAACCAGCTGTGGTCTGAGCTACCATCTAAAGCCACAGAGCACAGATGGACTACCTGTATGCTCTACTATAGATTCTT